CTGGCGAAGAAAGAACAAATCAAGGAAGCTGATGTTGCGAAAGGTGTTAATATGCTAACCAAAAAAAGACCACAAATAGTTGAAGAGGTTGAGAAGTTGTTGCTGGTGTGGATCAAGGATAAAGAGATTGCAGGTGATAGTGTTTCAGAGACGATTACAGTGGACCCCCGCATAACGATATTAATCCGTTCATTAGAGCTCATTGTTATGCGAAATTATCGTTATGCGAATGAATTTTCCCCGTAAGAAAAAATGGAAATCAAATTAATCTGTGCAAGACACCCAAAAGTATGAAAAAAAAACCATTTTTACCACATGAAATATTAATTTTAATACACACAAACTGAAAAAGGCATGCACAATTACATGACACTTACCTTTATTGAAGATCTGGTGATGATTGATGGGATGGGAGGAGGAGAGAGTCTTAGTGTTTAGAAGGGGAATCCCCTTCCATTAAGACTTGAGGTGTCAAGTCCTTTTCTGGGGTTACTTCCCTTCTTCTTTTAATGCCACTAGGACCAGCTTCAGAGTCACTGGACTTCTGTCGCACAACATATCTGTCCATAGTGGCCTGTACCTCTCGTTCCTTTATGACTTCCCTAAAGTGTTTCACAACATTGTCAGTGTAATAGTCACCAGCACGGCTTGCAATAGCTGTGTGAGGGTGATTTTCATCCATAAAGGTTTGCACTTTCAGCCACATTGCACCGATTTTCTTAATCTTTGTAGTAGGCAACTTCTTCAATTTCTCTCTCCCCTCCTCCGAACGAGTTTCCTTAGGTCTGGCCTCTTGCTGTTGAAGTTGATCTAGCAGCTCATCAGTGGTTAGTTCTTCATTGTCCTCCTCCACCAACTCTTCCACATCATCCCCACTAACCTCCAACCCCAAGGACTTTCCCAATGCCACAATGGATTCCTCAACTGGCATACTCCTCTCAGGGTTAGCCTCAAACCCTTCAAAATCCCTTTGGTCTACACATTCTGGCCACAGTTTCTTCCAAGCAGAGTTCAAGGTCCTCTTAGTCACTCCCTCCCAAGCCTTACCTATAAGGTTTACACAATTGAGGATATTAAAGTGCTCTCTCCAAAACTCTCTTAGAGTCAGTTGAGTTTCTGAGGTCACTACAAAGCACCTTTCAAACAGAGCTTTTGTGTACAGTTTTTTGAAGTTTGCAATAACCTGCTGGTCCATGGGCTGCAGGAGAGGAGTGGTATTAGGAGGCAAAAACTTCACCTTAATGAAGCTCATGTCCCCATAAAGTCGCTCTGCCACGTCTGTAGGATGACCAGGGGCATTGTCTAACACCAGGAGGCACTTAAGGTCTAATTTCTTTTCAGTTAGGTAATCTTTCACATTGGGGACAAATGCATGGTGTAACCAGCCATAGAAAAAGTCCCTAGTGACCCATGCCTTACTGTTTGCCCTCCACAGCACACACAAATTAGCCTTGAGGATATTCTTTTGCCTGAACGCTCTGGGAGTTTCTGAATGATACACTAATAAAGGCTTCACTTTGCAATCACCACTAGCATTGGAACACATCAACAGAGTAAGACTGTCTTTCATAGGCTTATGTCCTGGGAGTGCCTTTTCCTCCTGAGTAATGTAGGTCCTGCTTGGCATTTTCTTCCAAAACAGGCCTGTTTCATCACAATTAAACACTTGTTCAGGTTTCAGTCCTTCACTGTCTATGTACTCCTTGAATTCCTGCACATATTTTTCAGCTGCTTTGTGGTCCAAACTGGCAGCCTCACCATGCCTTATCACACTATGTATGCCACTACGCTTCTTAAATCTCTCAAACCAACTTTTGCTGGCCTTAAATTCACTCACATCATCACTAGTTGCAGGCATTTTTTTAATTAAATCCTGATGCAACTTCCTAGCCTTTTCACTTATGATCACTTGAGAGATGCTATCTCCTGCTATCTGTTTTTCATTTATCCACACCAATAAGAGTCTCTCAACATCTTCCATCACTTGCGATCTCTGTTTCGAAAACACAGTTGAACCTTTGGCAAGAACAGCTTCCTTGATTGCCTTTTTGTTGCCCACAATAGTAGCGATGGTTGATTGGGGTTTACTATACAACCTGGCCAGCTCGGAGACACGCACTCCACTTTCATACTTATCAATGATCTCTTTCTTCATCTCTATAGTAATTCTCACCCTTATTCCTGTAGGGTTGGCACTAGAAGCTTTCTTGGGGCCCTTGGTCACTTACTTTGCAGATAAAATCACCAAAAACACTGTAATAATACGAAATGTTCCGATTGTATGCTTGGATGTTACCGCTGAGGCTGGCTGGTAAACAATGCCACCGGCGGAACATGTGAGGCTGGCTAAGGCTGCACTTTAGACGCGTCTTGGACGAACAGCGTTGAGCGCATTTTTTAGCGGTATGCGAGGCAAAATCTTAGCGATAAAATGTATTGGTATGCGGATTTAACGTTATGTAAGGCCAACGGTATGTGGGGGTCCACTGTATTTGCGAAAAGGCAAGGAAGTTGCATGCCGATCTGGTACAGAAAACTCCTTGAACCAGTGCTGATAGTGAATTTAAGGCCAGCAGAGGCTGGTTTGACAGATTTAAGAAGTGTAATGGCATACACAATATTGTAAGACATGGTGAGGCAGCCAGTTCAGACAAACGGGCGGCTGAGAAGTTTGTACAGTAGTTTAAGGGGTACATAGACAGTGAAGAATTCAAACCTGAACAAGTGTTTAATTGTGACAAAACAGGCCTGTTTTGGAAGAAAATGCCAAAAATGACCTACATTACTCAGGAGGAAAAGACACTTCTAGGACACAAGCCTATGAAAGACAGGCTTACTCTTTTATTCTTTGCTAATGCTAGTGGTGATTTTATAGTGAAGCCTTTACTTGTGTATCATTCAGAAAATCCCAGAGTGTTTAAGAAAAACAATGTCTTTAACCCTTAAACGGTCCAAACGTATATATACGTTCACTCGCGTAGCGCCCCAAATTTTTTGAGGAAAAAGAAATCTTTTCTTTTAAAAGGAAAAAAGAGCATATGGTACCCAGAAATCCCCAGTTATTTTAATATGGCACACAGTGAGTGCGCACACCCATTCTCTCATGTCTAGGTGACTCAGGCTTATTGTGGCAATGTTGAATGAATGACAAAGAAAACGTATATATATGTTTGGGGCGCTACGCGCGTGAACGTATATATACGTTTGGACCATTTAAGGGTTAAGAACAAGTTATGTGTCTTGTGGAAAGCTAATCATAAGGTATGGGTCACAAGACAAATTTTCAAAGAGTGGGTTTGTGAAGTGTTTGGCCCCAGTGTGAAAAAATACCTCCAGGAAAAGAAATTGCCACTCAAGTGCCTCCTGTTAATGGACAATGCTCCTGCTCATCCTCCAAACTTATTAGATCTCTTGTCTAAGGACTTCAGTTTTATAAAAGTGAAGTTCTTGCCTCCTAACACCACTCCTCTCCTCCAGCCCATGGACCAGCAGGTCATTTCTAACTTCAAGAAACTCTACACAAAAGCAGTGTTTGAAAAGTGCTATGAAGTGACCACAGACACTAAGTTGACCCTAAGAGAGTTCTGGAGGAATCACTTCAACATCTACAACTCCATAAGCCTTATAGGTAAGGCTTGGGAGGGAGTGGCTTCCAGGACTTTGAACTCTGCTTGGAGACAATTGTGGCCAGATTGTGTCCAAAAGAGGGATTTTGAAGTGTTTGAGGCTGACCCTGACCCAGCTGACCCTGACCCAGCTGACCCTCTGCCTGTTGTGGACTCTATTGTGGCATTGGGGAACAGACAGAGAAGGGAAGTAACCCCATAGAGGGCTTTACCTGAAGTCCTCATGGAGGGGGATTCTCCTTCCAAACACTAACCCCAACTCCCTCTCTCCTCCTCCCTATCTTCCAGATGCCATCACCAATCTACAATAAAGGTAAGTAAAAATGTTATTTTATATGTATTACTATACATAATTAAAAACTATAGTATTTTTTGTATGTAAAAGTGTATTTAATCTCTATAAAATGTATTTTTTGTGTGAATATTTTTGGGTTTTGGAACGGATTAATTGTATTTCCATTATTTCTTATGGGAAATATTGCTTCAAATTTCAGACTTTTCGAATTTAGAACTAGCTCCTGGAACGGATTAAGTTCGATTTTTGAGGTTCCACTGTATTTCTTATGGGAAATATTGTTTTGACTTTAGGCTGTTTTGGCTTTAGGCCTAGCTCCTGGAATGGATTAAAGCCAAAACTCAGGGTTCCACTGTATTATTATCATTACTAATATGGCGTCTCGAGACATAAGACACTCTTGCTGATTTTAATGTGTACCTGCATGCCAGCACAGTGTATTTACATACAGGTATACATAAGTATAATTATCAGAGAATATATAAAATATGAAATAACTTTTAAAATACTTGAAATTTTGGAGTTTCCACACATAATGGAAAGACGTGGTGCTTAGGAAGTTCACTGAGAATGCAAACAAACTGGATGGGGCATGGTGACCATATTATAATGTCAGGTGGGGGAGCCATATATTGAGTTTTGGTCATATGTAATTTGAAATGTCAGTATTAGCAGGATGCTGTAAAGCGAAACGCTGTAGAGTGGGGCCGTACTGTACTAGTTATACAAGCAACTGCCAGTACTGCATAAGAGGTTTTCAAGGCTTCCCCAGTACTAGTTATACAACTACCAGTACTGTATTAGAAGTTATAAAAGCTTTCCCAGTACTAGTTATACAAGCAACTACAATACTGTATGTTTGATGTCATATGTAACTTATGAGAATTGTTATATACAGACTTGCCAGTAAGGAAAACATTTCCAAATAAAACTTGTTTATAAATTCCATAGGTTTGTTATACATTTGTCAGTACCATTTGTACACTGTATGTTATTCATAATTTTTGTATTTCTTATCTAATGTGGTTAAGCAAAATAATTTGTAGAAGTGTATGATTACTTTGTATTCTTTGTTTCAGACGTATAGTCTACTGATGGTGTTCAATACTGTCATAAGAAATGGTTTCTCTTATTCAGCATATGCTGTTGTTTTAGAACATGGACGAACCTCTCTTATGCGCTGTCAGGTTAGACATGAACCTCTCTCATGTGTTGTTGGGTTAGACATGAACCTCTCATGCATTTTTGAGTTAGATATAAACCTCTCTTGTGCATTATTGAGTTAGACATGAAGCTCTCTCTCTTGCATTGTTGGGTTAGACATGAACCTCTCTCTTGCATTGTTGGGTTAGACATGAACCTCTCTCTTGCATTGTTGGGTTAGACATGAACCTCTCTCTTCCATTGTCAGGTTAGACATGAACCTCTCTTGCATTGTTGAGTTAGACATGAACCTCTCTCTTGTATTGTCAAGTTAAACATGCTATAAAGGTCCTCTTTTATTGAAATAAAGTATTGTAGTTCTAGTATACCATTGCATGTGTATGTGGTAGATATGTTTGTTATCAGCATACAGGTTTACATGTTAGTATGTGTATATGATAGATATGTTTGTTATGAGCATATAAGTTTACATGTTAGTATGTGTATATGATAGATATGTTTATCAGCATACAGGTTTACATGTTAGTATGTGTATGTGGTAGATATGTTTGTTATCAGCATACAGGTTTACATGTTAGTATGTGTATGTGGTAGATATGTTTGTTATCAGCATACAGGTTTACATGTTAGTATGTGTATGTGGTAGATATGTTTGTTATCAGCATACAGGTTTACATGTTAGTATGTGTATGTGGTAGATATGTTTGTTATCAGCATACAGGTTTGCATGTTAGAATGTGCATGTGGTATATGTAATATGATAATATAAGTTTGTATGTGTATATGGTATTTACTATTTTTTTTTTTAACACACCAGCCATCTCCCACCAAGGCAGGGTGGCCTGAAAAAGAAAAACTTCATCATCATTCACTCCATCACTGTCTTGCCAGAGGCACGCTTACACTACAATTATAAAACTGCAACATTAACACCCCTCCTTCAGAGTGCCGGCACTGTACTTTCCATCTCCAGGACTCAAGTCCGGCCTGCCAGTTTCCCTGAATCCCTTCATAAATGTTACCTTGCTCATACTCCAACAGCATGTCAAGTCCTAAAAACCATGTGTATCCATTCACTCCTGTCTAACATGCTCATGCATGCTTGCTGGAAGTCCAAGCCCCTCGCACACAAAACCTCCTGTACCTCCTACAAATTTATATTATCGTATTGTGTAATATATTAAGTGGTAAATATGTTTTATCACTGAAAAAATATGAGTTTGTATGCTCATACAGTTAATATGTTTTAAGTTTCTTCATTGAAGGCAAAGCAGCCTACATGTGCAGTGCAACATTTTCTCTGCTTCTGCTCATACAGTACAATATTTTCACTGCTCCAGCTCATACAGTGCAACATTTTAACTGCTCCAGCTCATACAGTGCAACATTTTAACTGCTCCAGCTCATACAGTGCAACATTTTCACTGCCTCAGGAGTCCTCAAGATGGACTTCGTAAATGATTGCCTGAATATTTCTGAAATACATGTTTTTTACAAGTATGTGCAGAGTCATTACAGGCTGTCAATATTTAACCCTTTGGGAGTCAACAGGTCCTCTCAGAGACTTGTTCTCAGGGTCGGCCAAATTTCAAAAAAAAAAAAAAAAAATTCTTATGAAAAGATAGAGAATCTTTTCGCGATAATAATGACACCAAAAGTATGAAATTTGATGGAAAACTTATGGAATTATGCTCTCACGAAGTTAGCGGTGTCGACAATGCTGACGCATCAGCGATTTTGCCCGCTTTGAGCCCTATTTTCGGCCAATTCCAGTGTACTAGTCGACAAAAATCATAACTATCTTGCTAGAACTCCATTTTTTTCTATCGAATGAGTACAACAAACCACCCATATACCGATTTCAACTATCCAATAAAGTGGTCAGAATATAGCAATTTTGCCAATTTCACACAAATTTCAAAAGTTGCCAATTTCCGAATAGGGTCCAGAATAAACAAGAAAGACATTCCTGGCACTAAAATAACAAGTTCTCTGTTTGTTAGTCACATCCCCAGGCCCCTCTTATATTTTTTGGCTCTCCACTTTGAATTTTTATTCTTAAAAAAAAATAAGTTTTACTGTTATGCAGACTACTGCATTAGTGTAGAAATGGCATAAATAACAGCGCACTTGTGAAAGAATATTAGACTCACCAGTTGATGTGCATTGGACGCTTGGCATTATTTGTTTACTTTTGAACTTTGGTAAAAATCGAACATTTCTGCTACTTTGAGCTCAATTTCAAGGTATTTTTCATTGTGAAACCAGTCAAAATCATCTCAATTTCTGTAATATGTCTTCCATTCTATAAAATGAGACCAGGAAAACTAGAATACAACAATAAATACCATACAAAAATACGGTGCAATTTCGCTGTTTTAATCCAAAAACACGGTCAAAGTTGCTTTTTTCTTATTACTCACTGTGTGCTGCAGAATTTCTTTTATGCTATGCACACTGACCACATAGAGCCATTCTTTCATATGTAGGCCTACCAGCTTTCTCTCACTAGATTTGAGGGCGCTAGAATTTAGGCATACTAGTACATCAAAAACCCTGGTGCAAAAGATGTGCTAGGACGTCCGAAACCCTCAAAGGGTTAAACATAATTTATATTAGTAAATGTTATACATTAGGTCAGGTTTCTGTTTAGTGAGGGAAAGAACTTATTGAACAAAACCTCTAACCTCTTGTGTTGAGCTCCATTTAAGTTACTGCTAACTTTACCTGACCTCAGACACAGTTAAGTTTGGTAGCCACTAACTTAAGCTGGTTTGTATACTGTATACAGTCAAGTATAACTTCAGCTGGTGTGTATACTGTATACAGTCAAATATAACCAGCTGGTGTGCATACTGTATACAGTCAAGTATAACTCAACTTCTTGTATAGGTCAAGTTCTGGCTTTTTGACAGAAATCCTTAATTCTTCATATATATCTTAAGTATAGGTCTATCCTAATTTTTAACCCTTTCAGGGTCCAGAGGCCAAATTTCAAAGTGTGCACCAGTGTCCAAGAATTTTAAAAAAATAATTTTGTTATTTTTTCTTATGAAATGGTAGAGAATCTTTTTCTGAAGGTAATAAAACAAAAAGTACAAAATTTGATGGAAAATTGATGAAATTATGCTCTCGTGAATTTTGATGTATCTGCGATATTTACGCATTGGCGAATTTGCCGACTTTGACTCCCATTTTAGGCCAGTTACATTATTCCAGTCAACCAAATTCTTAGCTATTTCACTAGTATTACTTCTATTCTATCGAGTGAGCACAAGAAATCACCAAGTCAACTGTTTCAACTACAAAATAGTGATCGAAAATTGGTAATTTGGCCAATTTAATGCAAAGTTCAAAATATTCCAATTTCAAAATAGAGCTCAGAATAAACAATGCAGGCATTCCTGGCACTAAACTAACATTTCCTCTGTTCATTAGTTATGTTTTCAGGCGTAACAAATGAATTCCATTTTGATTTTTTATTCACATAATGAATTTTTATTCAAATAAAAAAATTGAAGATTTACTCTTATGCAATATTGTAATAATTGTTTAAATAATATCACCACATTTGTGAACATTCATTAGACCCACGAGCAGGCGTGTATTAGACATGTTAGGTAATTTGTTTACTCTTGAACATCGGCAAAATTTTAACATTTCCACTACTTTCAGGTCAGTTTCAAGCCATTTTTGTATTAAAACCAATCAAAAGCATTTCTATTTCTGTAATATATTTTCCATTCTATCAATAAGATCAAGAAATCTCAAATACAACTATAAAAAACATACGAAAAAAACACTGCAAAGTCGCTGTTTTAATCGAAAATTATGGTCTGTTTTTTTTCTCTCATTATGCACTGTGTGCTGCAGGATTTGTTTTACGTGGTGCACACATACCACATAGATGTATTCTCTCATATCTAGGCCAAAATTTACCGCTCACATCTTATCAGAGTGAGCTGAGCTCATGGTGTAGATCTACGGTTTGGAACCTGAACGTAAAGCCGTAGATCAACAGCACGGACCCTGAAAGGGTTAAAGAACATAAAAGTGGTTAGAGAGTTGTGATGCAACATATATTCTTGCCAAACCTTGGAAGAACAAGTCGTGAAAATCTGAAAATATCCTGCAAATAAGTTTGACAGATTCATGAACAAGAAAAGTTGAATTTATAAACAAGAAGAGTTGGATTTATGAACAAGAATTTGATTTATGAACAAGAAGAGTTGGATTTATGAACAAGAAGAATTGGATTTATGAACAAGAAGAGTTGGATTTATGAACAAGAAGAGTTGGATTTATGAACAAGAGGAGTTCGATTTATGAACAAGAAGAGTTGGATTTATGAACAAGAAGGGTTGGTGCTACCTGGAGTAGGAATTTGTTATCATTCTGACTGCAGCCTTTTGTTGGGTAATTAATGGTCTGAGATGATTTATTGTTGTTGAGCCCCCTGCAAAAATTCCATAGGTGAGATATGAACAACAGTTGGATTTATAAACAAGAATAGTTGGAAACAAACCATACCACGGGCTGGGATAGAACCCGCGATCAGAGAGTCTCAAAACTCCAGACCGTCGTGTTAGCCAGTGGACCAGCTAGCCACAATAAGATTCGTCCAACTAGGTATATTTCTACACCATAGGAAGGTTAGCATAGGCACCACTGTGACCACAAGTGGAAGTTTTTACAGATGAATCTCCAGCTATTGTGGCCATGATGAACTCTAGCTCAAGTCCCCTCAAAGCTGTCAACATGACTCACGAAATTCGTCATGGCCATGATAGCTGGAGATTCGTCTGTAAAAACTTGCATTTGTGGTCACAGTGGTGCCTATGCTAACCTTCCTATGGTGTAGAAATATACCTAGTTGGACGAATCTTATTGTGGCTAGCTGGTCCAGTGGCTAGCACGACGGTCTGGAGTTTTGAGACTTTCTGATCGCGGGTTCTATCCCCGCCCATGGTATGGTTTGTTTGCAATTGTGTCATTACGATTTCATGAGTGATGTTGACGGCTTTGAGGGGACTTGAGCTAGAGTTCATCACGGCCATGCTAGCTGGGGATTCGTCTGCAAAAACTTGCATTTGTGGTCACAGTGGTGCCTATGCTAACCTTTCTATGGTGTAGAAATA